AAACGAGGGGCTGGGGGGAGCCCCCCGTCCTCCCCGGGGGCAGGTACGGGGGGGGGTCGTGTCCGCTGGGCCCCCCCAGATCGGGGGGGGGAAGAGGGACTCGGGGGCAGGGGGTGATGCCACCCCTGGGGTCCCCAAGAGCTGCTCAGGGTGGGGAAACAGGCAGGGATTGGGGAAGGAGGGGCTGGGGGGGCTTTCTCCAGGCTGTGTTTGGCTGCTGTCCCACCCCCCGAGCTGGGACCCCCCAACAGAGGGAGCAGAGGGATTTTCTGGGGGCACCCACCTCCTCCTGCTCCTGGGCAGGGGGGGCTGCAGGGGTTTGGGAGGGTCTCACCAGGGTGCTTTGCCCCTGGACCCCCTGCCCCGGGCTCTGGGTGGGTGAGGAGGTGACGGGTGCTCTTTTCCATACCCCAGCTGTAGGATCTGGCTTTCCAGAACCCCGGGGGTTCCCCACCACAGCCCCCCCCGCCGTCCCCGCTGCCTCCTCGGGGCCCTGACAGCTGCCCTGGCGCTGTCCCTGGTGCTCTGTGGTGAGTTTGGGGGGTGGGAAGGGGCACCCGGACCCCTCTGCCCCTTCCCACCCCCCCAGTGCCCCTGACCGGGCTGGGCATCCTCCTGTCCCAGTGTCCTGGTGGGTGGCAGAGAGGGCACAGCCCGAGGCGACCTCGGGGTGGGGGAACACCTCCCTGAGACCCCCCTGTGCCAGCCTGGACGGCACCTTCAGGGAGCTGAGGAGGATCCTGTGCCCCTCGCGAGGTAACCCCCCCCTGGGGGTCCCATCGATGCCCCCTCCCCAAACTTAAGCCAGGTTGGAGCCTCTCCCTGTCCCCCCACGGTGCCTCAGCACACCGGGGTCTGTCTGTCCATCCGTCTGTCTGTCCGCAGAGGGCGAGGGGTGCAGGCTGTGCCCCGTGGGCTGGGTGCTGGGCAGGACCAAGTGCTACTGGGTCTCGGAAAGGATGAACTCGTGGCACGGGAGCCGGGAGGACTGCGGGGACCGCGGGGCCGCGATGGCGATGCCGTGGGACAAGGACGAGCTGGTGAAGGGACCGAGGGGACAGAGGGGCTGGAGGCACCCCAGGGGAGGGCAAAGGGCTTCCCGGAAACCTGGGATCAGAACCCTCATTCCCAAATTCCCCGAGGTGCCCGTGGCAGACCGGGGGGGAGGGACATGGGTCTGGCTCGGTCCCGGGGTGAGGACGGAGCCTATTTTGGGGTGACCATCGACGGCCCGGCAGCGCCACCACTGCCCCTTTCCCCGGGCCAGGATTCCCTCAACGAGACCCTGAGGAAACCCACGCGCCACTTCTGGATCGGGCTCTCGGTGCCCGCGCCCGGCACGGGCTGGACGTGGGTGAACGGCTCCCGCCCGGACTGGAGCCGGTGAGGGCCGGGGGGCAGCGCTGGGGGGTCGGGGTGGGCACCCCCCTGTCCCCCGAGGGCCCCCGGGGGTGACACGGGCCCCCTCCCGCACCCGCAGGTTCCCGCAGGACCCCGGGGAGGGTCGCGGAGCCTGCGGGGCGCTCAAGGGGGACAGGATCGACCCCCGCGCCTGCGACACGGGGCTGCAGTGGATCTGCCAGACGGAGTCTGCCCGGATCTGAGGGTCTCCATCGCACCCAAACCCCACCGTTAATGCGGGAAAAAATCCCGATTCCCGCGGGTTCGGCACCCACCGGCAGCTCCCGGGGCAGGGGCAGAACCGCGGCCGGGGAAAGTCGCCCTGGGGCGGGCGATGCGAGGGCGCCGGGGTGCGAGGGAGGAGGAGAAATCGAACTACGAAAAGAATAAAAACTAAAAATAACTTGTAACAGTCACTTTGCGGGGGAGGTGGTTGTGAACAAGCCCCCGATTCCCACCTCCCACCGGTGCCGCTGTTTCGGTCGCGGGGCAGCGGCCACTCCCCGTGCGGGTCTTTTATTGATTTCTCTCTCTTTTTTTTCCGTTCACACCCCCCATCTCCCCGCCCCGGGGCGGCCCTTCCGCCGCCACCGCCCCTCGCCCGCCCCTCGTCGCAGCTCTTCAGTGACACGGGGTGGGTCCCACGAGCCAAGGCAGGGTCTGTCTGTCCGTCGGGGCAGCTCCTCCAGCACCGCCGCACTCTGTTGTTGCATTTAATTCTATTTTCTGTATATTTTATTCGCAGCTCCCACTCCGCTCGGCGCAGCCCTTCTGGCCACCCCCGAGAGCGCCCGTTCAGTGACACGGGGCGGGGGGGACCCCTCGGTGCAGCCTTTTATTCTATTTTACTCTATTTCTTGCCTTTTATTCTGTTCCCACTCGCTGCAGCTCTTTCGGACCCCTCGGTGCAGCGATTTTAACGCCCCCGCGGAGCCAAGAAATGCCGGGAAACAGTTTCCACGGACTGAAGAAGTTTTTCGTGAAGTTTTTAATCTCGTGACCTTATTCTCTTATTAATTAGCACCCAACCCCCCCCCCCCCCCCCCCCCCCCCCCCCCCCCCCCCCCC